ACAGAATGAATGTGACTGAATTCATTCTAATGGGACTTACCCAGGATTCTCAGATGCTGATACTTCTATTTTTGGTGTTACTTAGCATCTACATGGCAAATAGATGGGGAAAAAAATGGAAACTGTGACAGACTTTATTTTCTTGGGTTCCAGATGGTGACCATCACTGTAGATGGTGACCACAGTCATGACATTAAAAGACACTTACTCCTTGGAAGAAAACTATGACAAATCTAGACAGCATATTAAAAAGCAGAGACATAAATTTGCCGACAAAGATCTGTAGAGTCAAAGCTATGGTTTGTCCAGTAGTCATGTACAAATGTGAGTTGGACCATGAAGAAAGCTAAGCAGCAAAGATTAGATATTTTCAATCTATGGTGTTGGAGAAGACTTTTGAGAGTCCCTTGGACAGCAAGGAGATCAAACCAATCAATCCTAAAGGAAATCAACCTTGAATATTCATTGGAAGGACTGATGTTGAAGCTGAAACTCCAATACTTTAGCCACCTGATGTGAAGAGCCAATTCATTGAAAAGGACCTTGATGCTGGGAAAGATCGAGGGCAGGAGGAGAAGGAAGCAACAGAGGATGAGATGGTTGGATGGCATCACCATCATCGATGGGCATGGGTTTCATCAAGCTCTGGGAGATGGTGAAGGACAAGGAAGCCTGGCTGCTGCGGTCCATGGGGTCACAAAGAGTTGGACAAGACTGAGACACTGAACAACAACAACAATGAGAAAAAGTTTCCACGTTGTGGCAGAGAGGGATATCTCCAAAGATCCTGACACTGCCTCTGAGTTGACAGTCTGAAATTCACACTCAAGGACACTAAGGCAGAAAATACATCTATAGTCCTGGAGAGGCTGAGTGTGAGAAAGAGAGAGAGAGAGAGAGAGAGAGAGAGAGAGAGAGAGGGAGAGAGAGAGAGAGAGAGGGAGAGAGAGAGAGAGAGAGAGAGAGAGAAAATTATGCAAAACTAAGAGGATCCATCTCAAGTATTCATCAAAGAACTGATCTGTGTGTGCATCTGAAGAAAATACCTGGTGCTGGGGAAAGATTTACCCAGATGAATTAGAGAGAAAAGTGCTTGGTTCTCAGACTAGGCCAGGAAGAGAGCCTACTCTCATTAGCTGGAAAACCTCATATTTACAGGGGTGGGGGCAGTGCTGTTGGTTGAATACTTAGAAAAATTTTCATTAGCTGTGGGACATGACTAGTTCTAGACTGAGCATATCCCAGGACCAGCTTCAAGACTTGTATCAGCAATATATTTTTAAAAACTCCTCAAAGAAAACACCCAGAGGAATCAAAACAAGTATTTTGCTCAAAATTTTGTGTCTTTGCTAAAGTGAGCTATTAATCTAATTATTTCCACTTGATGCCCTTGAGTCATGCTGGTATAAGGGTTATGCTGGGTGCATAAAATGCATTAGGAAGTACATTGTTTCATTACTTCTATGAAAGTGCTGTGTAACAAGTTATTTCTTGATTAGTTTTCATGTAAAATTAATTGATTAAAACTAGATGGGAATGAACTATCTTGCAGGAGAATGTTAGGACTCTAAACATTCAATTTATTTGCACTTAGATTATCCCAGTTTTAAACTATTTCTCAATGTGTGTTTAGACCATTGTATTTTTCATAGCAATGGTCTGTTTTCTTTTCTTGGCAAGTTAACTGCATACATTCTTTTATCATATCATTTTGTTGTCTTTTTAAAATTTGTGGAACCTGCAATGATGGCCATCTTTTCAATCTTGATTCTGATAATTTGGTTTTTCTCTTATTTTTCGTTAGTCCATTTGGCTAGAAATTATAATTTATTCAATGTTCAAAAGGATCAATTCCTGGTATTCTTTACTTTATATGAATTACTGTTTTAATGATGTATGTCTTTCAACACTTTCCACACTACAATGTTCTTTATGTTTATTTTAAATTTTCTTTTTTAACATTTTGAGATAGAAGCTTAGTTCATTCTTTAAAGTATCTTTTGTTTTCTAATATTTGCATTTAAATCTATAAAATTCTCTCTAATCACACAGTTAGCTGCATCCAGTTAATTTATACACATTGCAATGTATTATAAATAGTCTTTTATGTATATTAATGTATGTATATCTTTTATAAATGTTTTTTCATATAGTTTTTATATACATGTATATCATAATGTTTGTGTTGAAAATATGTTTTTGAAGATAGTCATGAGTGATTTTAGGCTAAATAATTGGAAAATATTACACTTTTGTTATAAATTTCTGTTTAAAGTACATATGTGCTTTATGATTTAAGTTCTTAGAAATATATTGCAAATTGTGTCATGGCCTTAGGTATTTCCTACTTGGGTGGATGCCCTGTGAGCACTTTGAGATGAATGGAACAGTCCCACAAATACTTTTTTCTTTTCCTAGTATGATACTAAAATTGATAAAACAGTTTCTATCAATTGTGTATCTGACACTATGTGACACCTTTTATCTGCATTTGAAATACGGTTTAAATGACTTGTTCTGAAATTAACATTCATGATTGGAAATTGGTTCAGATATCATCTTCAAAGATAAAGCTTAAACTTAAAAAAGATTTGCTTGTTTTGAAGAACATAATTTCACAAGAAAGTTTTCACATATTTCATTTCTGTCCAGATTTGATTTTTTCTTTTGGTGATAAGACCTAAATTTGCTTTTCATGATTTTTTCCCAGAGGGCAGAATTTTACAAGTCTTGTTCCACACAGTGTTTGTTTTTGTACCATCTCTGGAGATCTACCCTCAAAATTATGATTAAGATCCCAGTGAATTTAATTAGACAGAATCATACTTGGAGACGCAGGAATCGAATGACTCAGTTGTATGTGCTGCACTTAAATGTAGACAACGTGCTACAGCCGTTTGCCAGGACCTGCGGAGCATCTGTCTACAACAGTAATCATATGCCCGGCTTCTTCTGGAACTGAAATGATGGACTCAGAGCATAATAAAGTGTGTATACGAAATTATTCAGCCTTCAGGAACACTCAAGTTCAACAACACTGTGTGAAGACAGGACAGTAAGTGATTAAGAAGCAAAATGTTGCAACAGCTATTTCACTATTTCACTTTGACTGCTATAAGTGCAAACAAAATATTTTATTATAAACAATTTACACACAGTTTGAAGTTTTTTCTCTCTGTCTGATTAACACACTGATTTAATATTTGTTTGTTATCAGTACAAATCCAGCCAACAGTGAACATTCTGAGTTTCTGTTCGCAATCAAGATTCAGAGTTCCTTAGGAAACAGACGTTCATATTCATTTTGAAAATCTCAGTAATTTGAAAAGTAATTTTTAAAAAATAACTAAGATGATTTTGATTTTCTGCAATCATGTAAAGCATTGGCCACAGGAAGCAGTTCAAGGTGCTGTGAGGCTGCATGAATCTCCCTCTGCATTAACCAGAGACAGACAGCATCAGTGCGTGAAGGACAAGCAGGAAGGAACCAGAGCCCAGACATGGATTGAGAAGCTTTCTTCATAGACAGGTAGCATATTTTAGAAACAAATATTTTAGAAGCATATTTAGAAACAAGTATTTTAGAAGCATATTTAGAAACAAAATTCTGAATGAGGCTTTCAGTTGTAAGAGTATGTTGGTGAGGTAAGCTTTCTTTTTTTCTTTTTTCATTTATTTTTATTAGTTGGAGGCTAATAGCTTTCTTACTTGCTCAGTCATGTCCAACTCTTTGGGACCCTTCGGATTGTAGCCCACCAGGCTCCTCTGTCCATGGGACTTTCTAGGCAAGGATACTGGAGTGGGTTGCCATATCCTCCTCAGAGGGATCTTCCTGACCTGGAGACTGAACCCGCATCTCCTGCGTTCCTGCATAGAAGGCTGGTTCTTTGCCCACTGAGCCTTCAGGAAGCCAAGGATGGGGTTAGAATTCAGTCTTCTAGAGTTTTCCTTTGTGGATTTCATAATAAGGCATGGTAGAACTCCTTTGTGATTATTAAATATGTTGATTCAATAGATTGATTCTATTCTGTAATACTTCTTTTGAATAATTTCATTACTAATGATTTGGAATAAAGTTACCTACTTGAAGATAAAGTATCCTTAGAAATTAATTTCAAAGGTAATGATCTGGGGATAGTTTCATGGGTAGAGATATATAACTCTGACAATAGTTTTAATTTGTATGTTCTCTAACATTGTGTGTTAATTAAAAGATGAGGTAACATCTATAGACCTTGACTGAGTGACCCTCAAGAATTCGAACAAATAGTGTAATAAGTAAACCGTGACTTAAAGTCCTATTTTTTTGTTCACAGGTGGGTTTAGGCATCCTATCATGTTTGTTGGCCATTTAGAAGCAGTCTTATGTTAATTTTTTTGTTGATATTTTATTCTACATTTCATACTTTTATGTTTATCTTTTCTTCATTAGAGGATAACTCTCTATATCATCCAATATGTAAGTCTTTCTTTGAACATTTCATCTATTGCTGTTTTGGTATCATTTCCTAAATCCTTAAAAAACATGAAATTGTCAAATAAACCTATTTGAGATTTCAAGGATTGGTTAAGAATATTCTTTCAACCCTAGAATGAAGAAGTGTACCTCCTTTATGAAATGGATAGTAAATATAAAGTAAATCTTGCTTTACATTTTTATTAAGGTTTTAACCAATTTTTTATTTTAATAGATATTAGCTATATGTACAATAATTAGCTTCCAGATGGAAAGCTAATAGTGACACCTCATTTATTTAATGATCTATCCTTTTCCCACAAATGTCTCTAATTAATTGCCTCTCTGTTAGTGTGCAAGATTTTGAGATTAATGATGATGTTTTAATAAGCCTTGATCATATTAATAATATCTGAAAGTATAAGAACCATACTGCTTATTTGTTGAATGAATGAACAAATTATCATGACATGTCAGGACAGTCATAATAATTATATTGATAGGAAATGTCCTGAACTCTGAAATAAAAGATGCAGAAAGACCTATGGAACAAAGGAACAATGTAACTGAGTTTGTCCTCTTGGGGCTCACTCAGAGCCCCCAGGGTCAGAAAATACTATTTGTCATCTTCTTGCTCATCTACATCGTGACCATGGTGGGCAATCTCCTCATTGTCCTGACTGTGGTGTCCAGCCCAACTCTTGACATCCCCATGTACTTCTTTCTTGGCAACTTATCATTTATGGATGCTGTTTATTCTACTACAGTCACCCCAAATATGATTATAGACTTATTCTGTGCAAAAAAAAATCATTTCATTCCAAGCATGCATGATCCAACTTTTTACAGAGCATTTATTTGGTGGTGCTGAGATTTTACTACTGGTGGTCATGGCCTATGACCGCTACGTGGCCATCTGCAAACCTTTGCATTATATGACATTAATGAACCAACGGGTATGTGTTCTGTTACTGCTGTTAGCCTGGACAGGTGGGTTTTTACATGCTATTGTTCATATTCTTTTTGTTTACAATCTTCCCTTCTGTGGTCCCAATGTCATTGACCACTTCGGATGTGACATGTACCCCTTGTTAAAACTGGCCTGCACTGACATCCGTATTATTGGCTTCACGGTGCTGGCTAATGATGGGGCCATCTGCGTGGTCCTCTTCACGCTCTTGCTCCTCTCCTACGGGGTCATCCTGTGCTCCCTGAAGGATCTTAGTCAGGAAGGGAGGCGCAAAGCCTTGTCCACCTGTGGCTCCCACATCACTGTGGTGGCCCTCTTCTTCGTGCCCTGTATTTTTCTGTATGTGAGACCTCCTTCCACTTTACCCATTGACAAATCCTTGGCAGTGTTTTACACCATCGTCACCCCTATGTTGAACCCTCTGATCTATACACTGAGAAATGGAGAGATGCAACATGCCATGAAAAAGCTCTGGAACAGAAGAAGAAAATGAGGCCATAGGAAAATATGTCACCTATTTTCAATGAAAAATTGCTCTTCTCAGGAAAACAACCTGTGATTTTTTAACTGTAGTATCTTCTCAGGCTAAATAACTTGGGTATGATGAAAAACATCTCTTATTGAATAACTTGAATGATCAAAATATACTTTAATATTTTCAAAATTTCCTAGTTCAAAATACATATTTGCTTGAAATGCATTTTTATGATTTCCATGATTTCTTGGGGGAAGTACATATAGTTTTGGGATATAAAATGTCTCTTTGAGACTATAGATTTATGTTCTATATGATGAGTTAAGCTATATAGTTAACACTGTTAATTTATTAGATTAGGGGAAGATTTTACCATATTTCTCTCTAAAATAATGCAATATTTTTCAGAATTAATAGGGTTTATTACATTACTGATTTCAGAAAAAATAATTAAAAATATAAATTCCTCCACACATATACTTATTAATATTTGAAGTATAGATACAATTTTTCTATTTGCAAGATTACTTGTACATCATTTTGTTTCTGTTGCTTAACATCTTAAGATTGAAGAAGAATATTTCAAAGATTTAAATTTAATAACAAGGCCATGTTTATAAAAATAATCTAAAGGAATGAAATTTTAAGTAGAATAAAACCGAATCTTAATTTTCCAACTGTTATAATTATGAGTAATTTAAAATAAATGTGCTATTTTAATATTTTTTGCTTTTGCATTTCTATTACCATATTACTTTTGAAAAATTTCATTTCCTTCAAGTGATTTCATACACTTTAACCACTTTTTGAAAATAACTTTTAAAAACACTTTATGAAAGTGAAAGTCATGTCTGACTCTTTGTGACCCCGTGAAATGTAGCCCACGGAATTCTCCAGGCCAGAATACTGGAGTGGGTAGTTGTTCCCTTCCTTCTCCAGCAGATCTTCCCAACTCAGGAATCGAACCCAGATCTTTCCCGCATTGCAGACAGATTCTTTACCAGCTGAGCCACCAGGAAAGTCCAAAAACACTTTATATTTTAATCCATCTAGAATTTATTTTCATTTGTCATGGGCAAAGATGTAAGTCTATTTTCCCTAAAGAGGTAAAATAGTCTGTCAACATAATGATTCGTTTCACACAGCTTGAAAACTTTCTACTTAGTAGGTGATGTTTTGCACCATCTAAGATGTTCAGTTCTGGGGCACTTTCTCCTCTTCTCCATCTCCTCTCTCACATTTCCCTTATCCTCTGAACTTTAGGGTCATTTTGTAAAGTTTGAAAATTTCCATAAAAACATGTTTAGCATGTCATTGATAAATATAGTTAGGCTTTCCCTTCTCCAGGGGATCTTCCTGACCCTGGGATCGAACCCAGGTCTCCTGGATTGCAGGTGGATTCTTTACCAGCTGAGTCACAAGGGAAGCCCAAGAATACTGGAGTGGGAAGCCTAACCCTTCTCCAGGGGATCTTCCTGACCCAGAAATCGAACCGGGGTGGGATGTTTTGAGAGAACAGCATCGAAACATGTATATTATCAAGGGTGAAACAGATCACCAGCCCAGGTTGGATGCATGAGACAAGTGCTCAGGGCTGGTACACTGGGAAGACCCAGAGGGATGGGATAGGGAGGGAGGTGGGAGGGGGGATCGGGATGGGGAACACATGTAAATCCATGGCTGATTCATGTCAATGTATGACAAAACCCACTACAATATTGTAAAGTAATTAGCCTCCTATTAATAAAAATAAATGGAAAAAATAATAAAAAAAATAAATGGGAAGGGAACTGAGTAGATATTTCTCCAATGAAAATATAAGAATGGCCACAGGAACATGAGAAGGTGCTTGACATCACTAATCATCAGAGAAATGCAACTCATAACACAAAAGGAGATCGCCTTTCATCTGTTAGGATGGCCATATGAGATCTATATGAGACAAAAAAGTTTGGTGAGGCTGTAGAGAAAAATGGAACTATACTATTAATGGGAATATAATTTTTTCAGTCACTACAGTGATCATTAGGGAGGTTTTTCAGGCAATTAAAAACAAAACCATTGTATTATGCAATCGTGCTTTTGAGTATATATTTAAGAATGTGAAATCAGGAATCTGAAATGTCATCTCTACTCCCATGTTCATTGCAGCATTATTCACAATAGCCAAGATCTGGATACAACTAAGTGAACATTGAAAGATGAATGGATAAAAGAAATATGAGATATAAATATATATATATATTTATATATAGACTTCCCTGGTGGCTCAGATGGTAAAGTGTCTGCCTACAATGCGGGACACCCGGGTTCGATCTCTGAGTTGGGATGCTTTTCCTGGAGAAGGGAATGGGAACTCACTCCAGTATTCTTGCCCCCCTCAAAAAAAAAAGAATGGATAAAAGAAATATGATATATATATATACATGTATATATATAAAAGACTTTCATTTAGCAATATAAAAGAAGGGAATTCTGAAATTTGTGAAAACATAAAGGAACTTTAATGGCACAATGCCAAGTGAAATAAGCAGAAATAGAAAGACAAATACTCTATGGTCTCACTTTACGTGAAACTGAAAACAACAACAACAACAACAACAAACTCAGATGCAGAGAGAAGAATGTTGATTTCCAAGGGCTGGAGGATGAGAGTTAAAAAATGTCATTCAGTTCAGTTCAGTTCGGTTCAATCGCTCAGTCGTGTCCGACTCTTTGCGACCCCATGAACCACAGCATGCCAGGCCTCCCTGTCCATCACCAACTCCCGGAGTTTACCCAAACTCATGTCCATCGAGTTGGTGATACCATCCAACCACCTCATCCTCTGTCCTCCCCTTCTCCTCCTGCCCTCAATCTTTCCCAGCATCAGGGTCTTTTCCAATGAGTCAGCTCTTCGGCTTCGCATCAGGTGGCCAAAGTATTGGAGTTTCAACTTCAGCATCAGTCCTTCCAATGAACACCCAGGACTGATCTACTTTAGGATGGACTGGTTGGATCTCCTTGCAGTCCAAGGGACTCTCAAGAGTCTTCTCCAACACCACAGTTCAAAAGCATCAGTTCTTCAGTGCTCAGCAAATATTGTCATATTTGCATATTGTCATATTTGCTTCTACTTCAATTTGAAGAAACATTGAAAGATTTATGAAAACACAGCCCAGAACTTTTCAATTTCTGGTAAACAACTTAGATGCCCTTCTGGGATCAAAGGATTTCAGTTTGGGCTAACACCATGGGGTCACAGTCGGACACGATTTAGTGACTGAACAACAACAATACAACGTGAGCTCTGTCGTGAGTGCTTTAGTGTTTTGAGAACATGTTTCTCTATCTATTGAAATGCATGAAGTTACCCATAAGATTATTCTGGCAGGTATTGGGTTTTGTAAAATTAGTCCCTGAAACTATCAAACGTCAAAACATACCTCAACTATTTTCTGATGAACTATGATATGATCCATACATAACATTTTTTGTTTTCATCCTAGTTTACCCTTCAAGTTTGAGAATCTGTGTTGCTATCTCTCCAGGCGTTTAAACCACTGTTTTTGGATTTGTATTCTGGAGACAAACTTTTCTGGTATAGCTCCAAAAACTATTCTTTTGAAAAATTATTTTCATGGGCAATCTTCACTGATTTAGACCTAATTCCATGTGACTCAGATGGTAAAGAATCTGCTTGCAGTGTGGAAGACCTGAGTTTGATCCCTGGGTCAGGAAGATCCCCTGGAAAAGGGAATGATAACCCACTTCAGTATGTTTGCCTGAAGAATTCCATAAACAGAGCAGCCTGGGGACTACAGTTCATGGGGCTGTAAAGAATCAGACATGCCTGAGTGTCTAACACTTTCACTTTCCACTCTCTTTCCCTTTTATGCTTCTCTAGGGCTTTTGGAGCTGGGCTCAACAGACGTAGGGGTTCTAAGGCAATCTCTTTGCCCAGTATGTTAGCTATTTAAGTGGAAACTGGGTGACCCCTTAATGGACCATAGTGAGTAGATTTCAGTCTCTTATGAGGTTAAGAATGATGACTTTTTCAGTACATGCTAATTCTCTAATCTCACGCTTTAATTTCAGAGCTGAAAGAAGAGCTCAAGATACTTTCATAATATTTCAGCAAAATCCATATTTATCATAGTTCTTTAAATAGCTTCAAATCCTCATTCAAACTGTTTTTGGCATCTGCCTTCACAAATATTATTGCAAAACCATAATAATAAAATATGCAGCCAAACTATTAATAGATTTAGTCACATGATTTCAGTTCTCATAATCACTTTTCCTTCATGATGCATGCTGCTCACAGTGATTATATTCTCCAGAACCCATCCACAGTTATGTCCAATTCATGT